CTCCACGTGAGGCTTCAGTTCAGCACCCAGCCAACTGGCTGCCACCACAAACCAGCCACATTGAATGAACCACTTTCTATATTCTAGCCTTGTAAAGCTTCCAGTGGACCAGAGACCAAGCCAGCACGTGGGAAACCCAAGATCACATGACCCAAGCACAGGCAACCACAAAATGCACAAGATGGTCAATGGTATTGTTTGTAGAAACAGTAAGTTTAGGGATGCTTAGCCATCCAAAAGGAAATGAGACAGCGTGCTAAGTCTCAGCTCTGATTTTAAGAGTGACTCCAGAGTCAAACTGCTTTTGATCCTTGGACTGACAGCAGTCATGTGAACTTTGCCAATTCACAGTCTGCTGCGTTTCTGAATCCCGGTTTCAATGGCAAAAAAACTTCATATTGTGAGGGTGGAGAGAGGAGTTCCTGTGGAGCATGCTCACGGGACGGGGACTAGGTAAAAAGCTTCAGCAGTGTTGCTGTTGCCATTGACGCTGGTGTTCACCTGGCCCCTGTGAAATCCTGAATGTGACGGTTGCTCTGCAGAGAGGCCTTGTGGTGTTGAGAAGGAAATAGAGAAATAAAACAGCATAGGGTCAGGGAGAGCCTAAGTACAATGCAGACATTTGAAAGTAATAGCAATAGAAACATTTTGGGACAGAAAGGTAATCTTGAAATAGAGTAAAGCTGTGACTTATTTTTTACAAATTATAAGACAAACTGCAGTATCCTTTCTCTATTTTTCCAGAAATATTCAAATGGATACATTTATTATGAGGTCCTTATGAAGCTTGAACAACTAAATTTATCTAGAGTTTGGAATGATGATAAAATTGATGTTACTTTCTAGCTAATAAAAATAATGGATTTGGCTTTTCAACATGAAACTGAAGTCATCTCATCCAAAAAATATGCCATAAATCACCGAAGTCATACACATGTCTCAATAATATTTCATTACATGCCCCATTTTGCTCTTCATTTCTCAGATTAAATTTTAGTTTCTGACAAGAACCCTCATTTGAACTAGACAGTCATAAAACCCTTTCCCCTTTTAATTGTATTTTTTAAAAAATTTCCCAGTGGTATTCTCTAATTAGCTCTGAATTCTGACTTCACATTTAGACTGGCTTTTCTTTGTCCTTAAGGGAAAATTAGCGCTGGATTGATAGTAATAGCTAGTATCTATTTGTGTTACCCAAACAAGAAGTATTTTTATCTTTATGTTTGACCAATTGCATATTGTAAACCACTAATTTCACTTGCAAAAAGTCAAACTCTTAATTTCCTCTGCATCTCGCCTTTCCAGCTCAGCAGGACACGTCTCTTCCCTCCAGCCTCCATCACAGACTTCTTTCTATGATGGAGAAGGGCAGTTTGGCACGTGGTTATGAGGACCTATGCCGCTCCCCCCGACTGATCTGTCCATAGCATTTGGCAGGCACCTCCCTTATTCTTAGCTCTTCAGAGTTCTTTTATGCTTGACTAGTTCTTATGAAGTTCAAGACATTAACATAAATTTGGTATACTTCCAAAACATCGTGGGAGAGGAGCAAAAGCAAGTCAATTAGGCAGAATTACATTTCTGAAGAGAATATAATTTTACTCACGAAATGGACTGGAGAAAACATACACATTCAAGTCATCCAGTACTTCATAAAGACAACATTTTAAGTAGAATTCTACACAGAAAAGTAGCTACTGAAGCTAAATTAGTCTGGTTTGTTCATCTCCCTCTCTTACTTGGTGTTGGCCTGCTCAGAAATGTCTTGATGGAGATAAAAGTTTCCTTCAGATTTCTATTTACTCTATCTAATCACATGAAGCAACAGAGGGGGGAAATACAGTAAAATTCACAGCCTTTGTCCTAATAACTTTCAGTGATTAACTTGAAAATTCCGACAGTGTCAGAGGTATAAGAAATTCTACTTTCGTGATCAGGATACAGGGATAAGTTAATTAGCAGATGTCAGCTAGCAAATTAATATTTAATGACAAAACAAAATTTATGTGTTTAGATTTTCCATCACCAGACTTGCGTTTGGGCCTTTTAATGTCATCCTTTTATCTTAATTGGCATAACACGGGCAACGTCATTTGTAAAGCATTATGAGAAAACTAGAGCCGCAGAAGCTTCTTAATCAGTTTCTCCAGGCCTGACAGAAGCAAAACCCACAACTCAACTCTTGTCACCTTCTGACAGTTTGACAGTGAACATTGGATATCAAAGCACAATGTTGTAGCTGGGTACAGTGGCACACACCTGTAGCTTCAGCCGAGGGAGGAGGATCAAAAATACAAGAACAGCCTCCACTAAACAGTGAGACCCTTAGAAACTTAACCAAACCCTGGCTCAAAATTAAAATTAAAGTGGAAGGGAGTGTGACTCAGAGGTAGAGCCCCCTGGGTTCAATCCCCAGTATCATAAAAACAAGAAAGAATCATCCCAAGTGAAACTTACAATGTCAGAATACCTCCACATCCCTAATGCAAATAAGTAGCTTTGATTTAACTTTCAGTTCCTAACCTCCTGAGTTGAGTACAGATTCACCTAAGGATTGGATGAGCTGAGCTGTCCATCATCAATTTGGAGTCATAAGATTCATCTACTACTCTAGGGCTGCAGCTCTAGTTCAGTGTCAGAGCATTTGCTGTGTGAGGCACTGGGTTTCATCCTCAGCACCACATTTTTAAAAAAGAAATTAATTAAATAAAGGCATGCTGTCCATCTACAAGTATAAAAAACTTTTTTTAAAGATTCATCTACTATGAAAATAAGCATGGCAAGTGATGGCTGTAAAGGACATGCTAATGCAAAATAGGAGACCTTGGCATGTTGAAAATTTTAAATGGAAGGAAACTCTAATAATTTAGATATGAATGTCCCCCCAAAAGCTCACAGATTGTAGGCAATGCAAGAAAATTCAGAGACGGGGCTTTTAGAAAATGATTGGACCATGAAGTTTCTAACCTCACCAGTGGATTAATCCATTTGATGCATTAATGACTTGAACGGTCTACTACCTGGTAACTATAAGCAGATAGACTGTGGTTTGAGGAAATAGGTCTCTAGTGGACCTTGGAGACTGTGTATTATTCCTGGCCCTTTCTCTTCTTTCGGCTTCCTGGATGCCATGAGCTGAGCTGCCTTCCTCCATGATGGAAGGCCATAGCCACAGAACCACCTGACCATAACTGAAACTCCTGAACCTGTAAACCAAAACAAATAAGTCCCCCTCTAAGCTGTGCTGCTCAGGAGTTTGTCATAGGAATGCAAAGCTGACTCAGACAGAATCTGAGAAGCCACACAGAAAGCTTCTCTGACCATTGCCTACTCTTCTCTGAAGCTGACCATAAAACCTTCATGAGAGAGGTATTCTCTCTGTACTCAGATAAGGGGAGTATCTCAGCTCCAAAGACACAGAGACACAGAGCAGAGTCTTAAAGCAGAAGTTCCTCCTAACTGTCTCTCAGCTTATTACATTCATGTGTTCTAGGATGGTTCTCCATGACTCCAAGCTTCATAAAACTTACATTTACAATAAATGAATAAATAAAGAAACTCAGGTTTAAGTGTCTCATCAGGTCCTCACTCAAGGTTCTCATGTCTCAAAAACTTTTATTTAGTGAATTTGTATGCTTTTCTCTTGCTAATCTATCTTCTTTTACAGGAACCCCACTCAATATACCTAAGAGCAATAAGAGAAAATCCAATTCCCCTCCCACACACCAGGAATACTTCAAAAGCAAAAGGAAGAAACATATCATTAATAGAACTCAGGAAGACTCTGTGGGCACAGCTAATTTGCATCTGGATCTGGGGCTTAGACCGTCAGTTCCCTCTTTTCTTGGTGAATTGCGGCCTCTCTCTCAAATCACAACTACTACTGCATAAATCTCCAGATTCAAATCCCACCTAAAGATATTGGCATATGTCAGTACTATTAAAATGGAGACTGCCCCAGTACTACCACCATATTTAGGCAGCTCTAAGGCACCGTGGAGAAGGAAAATTCTTCTGGTACGGAATTTCAAATGCATTTGGCTATCCTTTTCACCTGAGGTAGAGATGGTCATAGACACATCTCAGGAGGAAGATATTCCTTTTTCCCTGTCTTTAACAGGTACATAATTGGCAGTTGGCCACTAAGATGCTACTGGCTAAGGTGCTAAAATTAATCTGAGAAAGTTATGCAAAGGATCATGGTAATGATAAGGAAGGTTTGTGTTGGCTGTGGTAGTCAAGGGTACAGGGCTATCCACGGCAACAGTAAGGATCATTTGAAGATTCATGGCTTTCTAATCCAGCAATTTCTCCAGGGTGTCCTATAGATATTGGTCCTCGACCAAGCCCAATTCTATAGCATTCCCCTAAAAAATTTTCCTTGAAAATAACTTTTTAAAAATTACTGTTTTGTTCAATGTAACCAGGGTTAATTTGTGTTTTGAAATCAAGAAGTCAAATCATCTGCCTCTGTATAAGGACAGCATAAAATATTTAGTCATGGAAAGTCTTTCCTTCACCATACATTAGTCTGATTCCTGAAACTTCTCCTGTGCTCACTTGTGTACTTCTTTGTAAAATTCAGCTTTAGCAAGAATCCTACTAAGTCAGTTTAGCAATGACCTTCCCTTTCACCTAGCCCTTGACATCTGTTCACCACAAATACCTGTTCTGGTTATTCATCCTCCACCATCCTCTGGGTGACCTCTGATTCCTCTGCCTGCCTCCAGCAAGAATCCTATGAGGTATGTTTAGACAAAATCTCTCCTTACCCATGATGTTTCTTCCAAGTCATTTTCCACATAATACCCAATGTCAGTCAGCTTCCTGTTACTATAACAAAATACCTGAAATAATTAAATTATAAAGAAAAAAAGATTGGTTTTTGCTCAGGGTTTTGGAGGTTCCATTCTAAGATCAGACAGAGCCACTGCTTTGGGCTTCTTGTGGATACAGCAAACAGTGATTGTAGGAAGCATGTGGTGGAACAAACTGCTCACCTCATGAGCCAGGAAACAAAGATGGGCAAGGTCCCATAGACTCCTTTGGTGGTATGTCAACAAAGATAAATGAACCTCCTACTAGGCCATGCTTCACGAATGTTCCCTCAGCTCCCAACATTGCCATCCTGGGGACAAAAAGACTTTAACACATGAAACTGTGGGAGACAGTTACCCAAACCACAGCAGACCTGTACCCTGTTTTTTTGGCTGTAAGTTCCCACTTATCCATACTGGATTTAGATTTGAGCCCAATCTTTCTCCCTGGCTTTAATATTCCATTCCAATGGTCCCTAGATCTATGGTGATAATTTCCCATACACCTTGAATAAAGTTTGTCTTTCCCTCTGCAACAAGTATCAATATTCTTTTCTTGAACACAAGAAATGTGTTTTATGAGTTTAAGGCCAGATTTATTCAAAAAATATTTATTCAAATATCTTCACATTGAATGTCTGAACACTGACATACAGAGCTTTGTATTTTAGAGATAGACTGACAATGTGATTATGTTCTATGGATAAGATAGCCACAGTTAATTACAAATTTCCATAAATTTTGATGCACTAAAATTATTTGCATATTTTTTACTAATAATGTAATGAGAAGTGAATTTATATGTGACCAGAAAATTTCTAATGTGCTAAAGAATTATATACTAAATAGTATTTGGTATCTGAGATTCATACATTTTGATTTAAGAGGAAATATAAAAATTTTTCAGAACATTTCTGCAATTGATATACATCCAAAATTAAGATTTAACTCAAACACTTTAATTGGTCTCAACAGGACAACAAGTTTTATACTAATGTGATAAGACTATGAAATAGTCAGGAGGCAATAAAATCAATTTTTAAAATGTATAATTAGAAACAATGATAAATAATGTCTACTTTGTTCTCAATAATATCTGAACTATGATTACTGTTTCTATTTATCCATGCATGGCTCAAAAACATAAATCCACTCAAGGTCATGTAGGATGCTTTTCTCTTGATCTTCTGGTCTTTTCTGCTTATTTTTATTTCTTTTTAATATTTGCAGGGACCGCTCTTTCTGCTTTCTTTTTAAGTTGGAAGAACATGTTGAATCCATGGATGGAAAATTTAATTCAAACTTAAGTGCATCATCTAACCATTTGAATTGTTAAAATCAAGCATGTTGAGTATTCCATGGATCTGATCCAGTGTCTTAGTTCATTTGTGTTTGGAGTACTTGAATATGAATACTGAGGATATTATTCATCATTGAGTCAATAAAGAGAGTATCATCAAAGGGAGCAAGTGACCGAAAGCAACTGTGCTCACTACAAAAGTCGATGAAGCCAGAAACAGTCCTTTAAAACTCAGCTATGCTGCCAGTGACCACAAAAAGGTCAAAGCTTATGAGTCACTGATATAATCAAAGTAATAGTTAAATGCATTACTAATCAATTAATAACCAAACTAAAATATTCCATCATTTTAATTCATTTTGACATATTTAATTTAAAAGACTACATCCCATGTTTACAGAGATGTAACATTTGTATTACCAAAAATGTTTACTTTTCTTACTAATGCCAAAGTGAAAAAAGTAAGAGTGATTTAAAGCAGTTGCCTGAATCAGAATCTCACTATGTATTTAAACACGGGATAGGAGGGCATTTGAAATAATAAAGAACATTTTCTTTTTTAATCTCCAAACACATATTTAATCGGAATAATGTAACTGATGGATGTCCTCCACAAAAATATCTAGAGGTGATGGACCATGACCAAGTTGCTCATAAGGCACTTAATAAATGAGGGCGAGAGAGAAAGAGAGAGAGAGATGGACAAAGACGGAATAACAAAGTACTTCTTCAGTACCAAGTTGTGGTTTTTTCAAGGTAGAGGGACATAAAAATGTCAGAATTATTTTAAGCTATTTGATACATATATATGTAATAATGTGTTGGTCTTTCAAAGGAGATTAATACAATGTACAAACACTCTTACATCAGAATTTATGCACTAATTTTAGGTAATTCAGAATCTAAACTCAAACAAGCCTCAACTCTGATTACAAACTGATGCAAATCAAGTTTGCCAGGAGTCTTGATAAGATACAACTCACACAAATCCACAGGCTCCTGCTGGAGTTCCTAACAGGCACCTTCAGTGGGTTCAAGGTGAAACAGTTGATGCACCATTAAAATGATGATACAAAAACAGTTTCTGCCAGAATCTTCCAAACTCCCACTAAAATGCCTGTGAAAAAGGAAAGAAAGATACATGAACATCTATTTTTTTTAAAATAAGGCTATCACCATTATATACCATTCTTAGGCATTATAATCAAGGCCTAAGAATTTCATGAAGATAAAAATCATCCAATCTGTCTTTCATACCTAACATGAATCACACTCACACACACAGAAGGTGGGAAGGCCTTTTCTCCTTCCTTTGCTGCCTGTAGAGAAAACAGAAACCCCTAAGCTGCAGGGTTCCCCTCCTACAGGTTGTCGTGTTTTGAGGAAAACACTCCCTGTCTCTTACCATTAGCCCTCAGTTTTCTATGCCATGAAGACATAGACTTCCTCAGATACTTAAACTACTGAAGAAGAAAACAGAATTTGGAGGTGAGCTTCCTACTGCCCCTGTAACAAATTATTTTCAATTTATTGCTGTTAAACAACACAAATTTAATTATCTTCCAGTTCTCTAGGTCAGAAGTCTGACCGAGGTTTCAGTGGACTTTGAGTCAAGGTGTGGGCATTCCTTCAGGCAGAATCTAGTGGAGACTGCATCTCCTCACCTGTTCCAGGTGTTGGAGGTTTTCCATCTTCCTTGGTTGGTAGCTTGCTTTGACTTTCAAAGCCAGCAATGGTGTATTAAGAATTCCCATGACACCACTCCAACCTGGCCTTCATCATCAGATCTTCTTTTCTAACCCAGGCTCTGATTCATCTGCCTCCTTCTTCTCCATGTAAACAACCTTATGATCCCATAAGCTCAGGATATGTATATATAATATATTCAGGATAATCATAATTTAGTCATCTGAGTAGCAACCATGCTATAGTTTGAGACAATGCAAGAGCCTTCGGGGGTGAGATACTTATGAGAGTTGGAGCCTAATCAGTGGATTAATCCACTGATATGGATTAACAAGGTGGCAACTTTAGGCAGGTGTAGCTGGAGGAAGCAGGTCACTGGCAGCATGACTTTGGAGTTTCTATTTTGCCCCAGAGAGTGGAACACTCTCTGCCTCCTGCTTGCCATGTCCTGAGCTACTTTCCTCCTCCGTGCCCTTCTGCCATGATGTTCTGCCTCACCTTGGGCCCAAGGTTATGAAGTCCTCCATCTATGGACTCAGACCTCTGAAACCAAAATAAACGTTTTCTCCTCTAGTTGTTTTTGTGAGATCTTTTAGTTGCAGCTGCAAAAAAACAAACAAACAAACAAAAAAAAACCTGACTGAACTAAACCATGATTCTATCTACAATCTTAATTCTTCTTTGTCATGTAACTTAAGATATTCACAATTCTTAAGCATTTGGGCACTGACACCTTATGGGTAGGGGGCCCATTACTCTGCCTACTAAGCTGCATAACATTACTTGCTGGAAACTATTGCAAAGTATATAAATGGACTTAACCTGAAATGCTGTAAGGAGTAAATTCTGCAGATTATTTTCTTCACATACTCCAACAGTATGTCATAAAAGTAATACAAAAGGAATACAAGTAGCCCACTTCAGGCTAGCAAAGTACATGAGATATGTGCCAAATGTATACAGAAACAAAGTTTCAAACAAGATTCTCATCAGCCCTGGCTTCGGGTGTCAGCCTCACTAGAGGTGGGGCTGCGGAGTCAGCGGGCCCCCAAAGGTGGAGGCGTGCCTTGAATGGGCATGAGGCAGCTCCTTGGGTCTGAGACTTACATCAACTCAAAAGTGGCCTTCTACTTAGTTTTAAAAACAGGAGGAGTGGGGGATCTATTTTAATGCCTCCTTTTACCTTTTGCTTACGTGAGTATTTAAAAATATCCCTGAGACGAAATAACCTAAGTCTTGACCCCTGCACAAGTGTGAAGTCTGAATTTGAAACACATTTTTGATGCTGAAACATCTATCTGTGAAATTCATATAGAATTGTTTTGGGAAAGGTGAGGGCAAGGACTATGAATGAAAAAAAATAAATAAAGTGCTTTTTACTAAAGTTCTTATTGTGCAAAAAAAGAAAAGAACTATTAAAAATAAAATACCAAGATGGAGAAGATACAGAGAAAATATTTATATCTGCTTAAGAAAATTAATCACTCTGAGAGTGTATCATTACTAATAGCCATCAAGTTATTTAGAAATCTCTTAACTATAAATGATTAAAATGTAAGGCTGCATATAAAAATGTATTAAGTAACCAGAATACATACCTTATTTAAAGATTAAGGATGCCATAATAAACATCTATTTTAAAAAGAAGAAACATAATTTCTAAAAAATTTTAAATCGATCTCGTATTAAAAACAGCAGTCAAAAGATAAGCAAAATAACAGATTTCATCTTATAGAATAAAAAGTTAATGACCCAGAAGTTCTAAATATCATTACCCAGGAATAACATTATAAGTTACAAAATGGATATAGAACTATAGAAACTGAAGCAACACAAAGTTGATTTGAATTAAAAGAAACAACCAGTGTGTTCCTTTTCTGAACACAATGGAACAACCTCCAGTAGAACTATTATGGAATAATGAGAAAAAGCCAAAGTGAGGGGAAACGTATTTGAAGAGGATCAGATATCTTCTGAAGCAGGAAGAATCAGAGGGGCCCAGATTCTGGAGGGAGGAACATCATGGGAAACTGAGCCCATGTTCTATATTCACACACGGCTTCAAGTGGTATTTACCAAAAGTGGGCACAGGCAAGGAGCGGGAGAGCCCAGGCCTCACTGAGACAGGACAGGTCACTGCTGATGAACTGAAAGTCACCAGAAGCACTTGGAATGGTCTCTAGTGGCTACAGAGATAAAATTGGAGATTTGAACAGCATAAAATAGGTGGCTAGATTTTTTTTTTCATTTCTCAAATTTTGATGTGACAAGATGTAGAAATTTACAAAGCTTAACAGAAAGCATCCTAAAAGAAGGGAGCCTTCCACCACTCAGCATCGATGAGATAAAGTGCCATAAGGACCCAGCAAGCAAAAGGGCCCATGGAACATTCCAGACCATTTTATTTCAATGCTGGATGACTATATTCAATGCAAATGGCTAAGGAGAAAGAAAAGAATCCTTACAAAACCACAACCAGACTCAATTCAAGGCCACATTTCTGCATGGTAGTCTGCATAGGTGGGAAATCTCCTCCTCATAACGCTCAGATGCTCTCTACCTTTTCCATTTTGCTGGCATTTGCACTAGTGGTGCTGAAGCAATGGCAGTCCATGGTGTTGGTACCTGAGCATAAATTAAGGTCAGTGGCACAAAGGTCTGCCAGGACTCATTGTAATCTAGCGATGGGAGTCCTCACAGCTTACACACAAATTAAAGTGTAATTAACTCAGATTTTTAAATATCATTTGCATTCATGAGAACATTGCACAAAGGGTTAATTGTATTAGATCATGACATTCAAAAATGCAGATCTTTATAATGACAATGTAATTGTGTATGAAACAATTCTGGCCTATTCGAAAATAGTTTTGAGAAAAATACGTATTATTGTTTTTCTTTTGTTTGTTTTAATGCAAGCTGAAATGAATATTGTTTTCTTGGAGCATCATTTCTAATAGGAAACAAAAAAAAGGAGAGAAGAGAGAGATTGAGACATAAGCAACACTTGAAAAGATAATTGCCATTTTTTTTCCTGAAATGATTGTAATAAACTATGTATCATTGGAAAGGTAACACAGAGAAAACAAAATAATAAAAAATAAAAATTACTCCAAACGAAAGCAATTGGAAAGGAACATGGAAGTGTTACATAGCAAGGCTCAATTTGTTTTAAGAGTAAAATCATTTAGAGTGTATTGTCTGACCACAGTGAAATTAAGCCCATAATTAGTAACTCAGTAGTAACTAGAAAATTACCAATTGTTTGGAAATTAAACAATACATTTTAGTGCATGAATAGATGAAATGAGGAATCACTGTAGAAATTAAAAATGTATTTCAATTGAAAGCTAATTAAAAAATAACACTTTAAATATTGAAGGACTTGGCTAAAGCAGCACTTAAGAAATAGAGACTTCAACATATACATTGTAAGAGGATAAAAGTTTAAAATAAATGATCTAACTATGCTTCCATTCCAGGACAACCTAAAGACCAGCAACTCTGACTAAAAATAAATGAACAAAAGTGGAATTAGTAAAATAGGAAATTATTGTGCAATAAAGAAAATCAGCCATGCTGAAATATTTTTAAAGTATGAATTTTAAAAATGTTATCTTTGAATAATTCAGAAGGTAGAAAAGAAACAATAAACATCATGAATTTAAAAAGAAAGACTACAGATCCTAAAAACCTTAAAAGCTAATAGTAAAATATTATAAACAACTTCATGGTAATGAATTTGAAAATATAAGTGAAATGGTCATTATACATTGGAAACAACAATAAAAAAAAAGTGGATATTGGGCTGGGATTGTGGCTCAGCAGTAGAGTGCTCGCCTAGCATGTGTGAGGCCCTGGGTCCAATCCTCAGCACCACATAAAAATAAATAAATAAATAATTGGATATTCTTAACATGTTGAAAGAATTTTAATACATTTTTAAAACTTCCCACCAAAAGAAAAAAATGGGTAAAAAACTCCACTGGTAAACTCATGCAAACATTTAAGAAAGAAATAGCATAAACTTTATATAAATTCTTTCATAGAATACTAACAGAGGGAATTATTTCCAATATACCTAAAACCTCATATAAAATTCTAATAAGAGCATTATAAGAAAAACTACAGATCAACCTCTCCCATTAACACAGAAACAAATAAGAAATATTGCAAATTGAATTTGCAATATAATAGAATAAGATGTCACAACCAAATGGGCTCTTTTCCAGTTATGCTGTTTGTGTAACTTTGGAAGTTTAATATAATTTGTTGAATGAAAATAACATTTATGACAATAGGCTTTCAAAAAAATTTGACAGTACTCAAAAGTCATTCATCATTTAAAAAAAAATCCCTGTAGAGCAAGGTAAAACAGACTACTAAATATGGTAAGATATATCCACAAAAAAAATAAAGCACATACTATTCTTAATGATGAATAATTAAGACTTTCTTCTGGGATCAGGAGTGATATAAAGATACTCACTATCCAAATTCTTTTCAATACTATACCGAAGGCGGTAGAATATTGTAATCAGGCAGGAAAAGGTTTTTTCAATGACAGTTAAGAAAGTGGCATTTTTACAAAACTTCCATTATTTTGGGGTGACATGTCTGAGACTGTAGTATGTCCAAATTATTTATAAAATTTTTAAAATTAATAAGTGAATGTAGCCAGGTGCTATGGTGTAGATAAGTGTCTCCACAGCCCAGGTGTTAGAGGGTTAGTCCCCAGCCTGTGCTGCTACTGGTGGCGGTGGAGCAATTAGGCCCTGGGACCTGGTGGGAGAGTAATGGTACTGGGGGAGTGCCATTGAAAGGGAGAGGGCCCTGTTCTTTCTCTTTGCTTCCCAGCTGCAATGAGGTGAGCAACTCCCTCCGCTGTGTGTTCTCAAAATGATGTCCTACCTTGTTACAGGCCCAGAAGCAACAGGGTCAACCCATCATGAACTGAAAACTCCAAAATTGTGATATGAAATAAACTTTCTTCTTTTAAACTTGCTTATCTGAGATATTTTCTACAGTTAGGGAATGCTGAGAAACACACCAGGCTCCTGGATACAAAAATCAACATGCTCTCATCCATAATGCATTTCTAGGTACCACAAAACATTGTACAGAAAATATAAATTTAAAATATAATATAATTTTCAATAGCCAAAATCAAATATATAGGAATAAATCAAATTTACAATCTGAAGCACTGAAAATTTCAAGACATTGATGATAGAAATTTTAAAGAGAGAAACAGAGTGTATTCATGACTTGGAAGGATGAACATTTTAATGATTAAAAAGTTTCCTACATTCATTCATAGATGCAATGTCCCACTCAGGATGCAAGCTGGAGCCTCATTTTTATATGTGCATGAAGAAAATGACAAGCTGCTTCTTTCTTCCTTCCTTTTTTTTTTTCTTTTTCAGTTGATTGGAGATTCCCCCCCCCATTACTTTTGTTTTCAATTTGAAATCACGCAGACTCTGTTTCCTGCATGATTTAATACATTAAAAATCAATTACCTTAAGATATATAGAGCCCCACCCCCACATGTCAACTATTTCAAAATTACATGGCACATTTATAAATATCTCAGAGGTCA